AAATTGAACGCCAAAGATTGGTTCTTTACAGGAATTTCAAATTTATATTCCTCATTGTTTATCATAAATACCTAATAGTGAAATCGTTTCAGTCATTTTTTAGAATACAGATTTGTCGATTACCTAAATCATTGTATAAATACAAATCTAAAATGAGGTTATGGACAAATGACAGCAAATATTTACGAATATTTATGTTTCATTGAGAGCAATTTTCACATGGATTTCTTCAGTTTCTCGTGCAACACTCGTGCAGTACGAGTTTTGCCAATCGAAAACGCTATAACGCGAGTCGGCTTGAAATTCATTTGTGACTATAGTAACGGCTTGAAGCTGTGAGTGTGTTATATTAAGCTAGTTTTACATCAACAATTTCTTCGTCAATTAAATCATGAAGTTATTTGTCAATTTATTGCTTAAGTTCCTTGGTTTTACACTGCTGCCAACTTGATCAATTTCTTGTTGGTTTTCAAGACATTGTACAATTTTACCAACCTTTAATTTTTTTAAGGTTAGGTAGTCATTTATTTAATTGTGTAAAAATAAAAGTGAAAAGGGTAAAAATGTTTCCCTCTGTCTTGAATGGAAGATTCGGAATAGAAAAAGAAAGAGCGCGATATTATAGCTCATAAAAATCATCAAAACATCTTGATTTTATTATTTATGTTGGTTGCTGGTAGTTGGTACTACTGAATTGACGTAAAAATTGCCAGAAAAATAGAACTAATCCGACAAGAAATTGATCAAGTTTTTGCATCAAATTTTGTGTTTACACCCGTAAAGCTTTCTTGCCAAAGCGACTTGATCAATTTATTGCTGATGTAAAACTAGCTTTATAGGTGAATTTTCATTTGCCGTCCTCGTGTGTGTGGTTCGGCTTTCAGAATTCGAGAGCCGTGCGACGGAGTCACGTTTACCTTATAGTCTTATAAGTGAAAGTCTTTAGAATTGTTTATTAGACACGTTGGTCTCGCACTACGGATTTAGGACTTCATACTAGGCTTGTCCTTATAACCAAGATTTTATGGCACTGTAACTTCAAGCAAGGTTTGCGCACGCCCAACGAGACCTCGGTGCTCTTACCGCGCGTCCCGATCTGGTTGTGTAACGTCATTTTAGACGTTACATTTTTTTATTTAGATTGATTAGCGGCTTCAATTTTTTGTATACGAATCTGCTCTTTTTGAGTGAATTTTCGCTTGTGCAGAGATAGATGCCGAAGTGTAAAGACACTTAGCGGCATTCATGTCGAAATACAACTTTAGTCCAGGACCTTCAGATACCTTCTGCACTGGAGGAGGTCCGGCTAATTAACAATGATATTTAATCCTGTAAGAGACTTCGGAATGTTATTCTTCACAAATCGGAAATGATTGGAAGTGCTTTTAAATCTACTTGAGATCCATTCTTTAGCATATCGAATTTTGTAGTAACGTCAGATTTAAATTATTCTTTATCAGAAACGCATTCATAAACAGCGTATATACAGAGTATATATTTTTTCCTACTGAATCTAAATTTGAAATTTAAAAAATAAGACAACTTTATTATGTGGAACACCCTGTATATTATTACATCATATGACAGCTTATAAATTCCCTCCAAAGATTTTAATGCACTATAGCCCAAATACGTCAAATACCGTCAATTATTTGCTTTTCGATCTAGTTACCCATGACAATGATCAAATGTCATAGCTTGTTAAGTCACGGGTCATATTCAACAGCACCGATCTTTGAACTCGTAGGATATCTTTTCGTTGGTTGACTTAGACGAGGAATTCGCCAAAAACTACATTTTAAAAAACCCTTTCCCAAAATTATTATGGACGCCTATGATTGACACGATATCTTCACTCTGTGGATATCAGGTCGCCATTTTGATTCAAGTTTTCCTTTTTTATTTAAAGGTGACCAGTCTTATGCTGTACAGTTATAGAAAAAAAATGTATGTATGGTGCACTGTGTTGGTAACAAGCACCCCTTCAAGCACCAACAAATATTTCGAATCGAGGCTATAACCTACACCAAAAAATTTGTGGTTTATTCTCTTTCTAAGCTTAGGTAAGTTGTATTTTTGTGGTCATAAGAATTAAAAATAATCTCGTAGATAGCTATGGATGACAAAATTACATTTGTTAAAGTTGAACCAAAACAAGAAGATGAAATAAATTTGTCCATTGAAAGAAACATTTTTGTAAGCAATGATTTCTTGGGTACTATAAAAGAAGAATATAATGAGAACACGACGACGAGGACAGAATATTGTGGTCGCGGAGAAGATAATTGTTCAAGTGTTAAATCCGAAACTGCAACTTTTACATGTACGGTTTGTGACTACACAACAGACAACGAATCACTTTTTAAAGTACACCTTTTAACGCATACGAATACTAAAGATTTTAAATGTGCACACTGTGACTATGTATCAAATGTGAAGAAGAATTTGAGGCACCATGTCATAAAACACATTGTTTCAAAAGTGTTTAAATGTGACGTTTGTTATTATGCCACAAATAAGAAGTTCAATTTAAAGCAACATTTACTAAAACATAACGATTCAAAAGATTTTAAATGTGATGTTTGTGATTATGCAACAAATACTAAGAGGTATTTGAAGAATCATTTGCTAAAACACAACGTTTCAAAAGATTTTAAATGTAACATTTGCGATTATGCCACAAATATTAAACGCCATTTTAAATTACATCTTTTAACACACAAAGAGTCGAAAGACTATAAATGTGATATTTGTGATTACGCAACAAATACAAAGCACTATTTAAAGAAACATCGCCTAATACACAATGATTCCAAATTTTTTAAATGTGATACTTGTGATTACGCCACAAGTATTAAATGCCGTTTGAAGTCGCATTTTTTAACACACAGTGATTCGAAAGTTTTTAAATGTGATATTTGTAATTATGCCACAGGTAGTAAAAGGCTGTTAAAGTCGCATCTCTTGACACACAATAATTCCAAAGATTTTAAATGTAATTTTTGTGATTATGCCACAAGTATTGAAAAGCGGTTTAAGTTGCATCTCTTAACACACAATGATTCGAAAGATTTTAAATGTGATATTTGTGATTATGCAACAAATACGAAGAGCTATTTGAAAAGACATATCTTGATACACAGTGACTCAAAAGATTTTAAATGCGAAATTTGTGATTATGACACGAGTATTAAGAGCCGCCTTAACTCGCATCTTTTAACGCACAATGTTTCAAAAGATTTTAAATGCGATATTTGTGATTATGTAACAAATACAAAGCCCAATTTGAGGCAACATATCTTAATACACAATGATTCAAAAGATTTTAAATGTGGCATTTGTAATTATGCAACATACACCAAGTACAATTTGAAGCAACATCTCTCAATACACAATGATTCGAAAGATTTTAAATGTGATATTTGTGATTATGCAACTAATATGAAATACTATTTGAAGAAACATGTCTTAATACACAATGAGGCGAAAGATTTTAAATGTAGCATTTGCAATTATGGAACAAATATTAAAAGCCGTTTTAAGTCACATTTCTTAACACACAATAGTTCGAAAAATTTTAAATGTGATATTTGTGATTATGCAACAAATAAAAGCTACTATTTGAAGCAACACCTCTTGATACACAATGATTCAAAGGATTTTAAATGTGATGTTTGTGATTTTGCAACAAATGCGAAGTCCAATTTGAAACAACATTCCCTAATACACAATAGTGCAAAAGATCTTAAATGTGATGTTTGTGATTATGCAACAAACACTAAGAACAATTTGAAGCAACATCTCTTAAAACACAATCCCTTAAAAGTGTTTAAATGTAACGTTTGTAATTATGCATCAAATATTAAGGGCTCTTTTAAGTCACATCTCTTAACACATAATGACTCAAAAGATTTTAAATGCAATTTTTGTTCTTATGCAACAAATACTAAGCAAAGTTTGAGGCAACATCTCCTAAAACACAATCTTTCAGAAGTGTTTAAATGTGGCGTTTGTGATTATGTCACAAGTATTAAAACTTCATTTAAATCACATCTCTTAACGCACATTGATTCGAAAGATTTTAAATGTGATATTTGTAATTATGCGACAAACACTAAGCAGACCTTGAGGCATCATCTTTTAAAACACAATGCTTCTCAAGTTTTTAAATGTGCCGTTTGTGATTACGCCACTTATATTAAAAGCCGTTTTAATTCACATCTCTTAACACACAACGATTCGAAAGATTTTAAATGTAATAATTGTGATTATGCAACAAATACTAAGAGTAACTTGAGGAATCATGTCGTCAAACACAATGTTTCAGAAATTTTCATATGTCACGTTTGTGATTATGTTACAAACATTAAACGCACTTTGACACGACATCTCTTATCACACAAATCATATAAAGATTTCGATTGTGGTCTTTGTGATTATGCAACAAATACTAGGTACCATTTGAAACGACATCTCAAAACACACAATAGATCCAAAAATTTTAAATGAGGCTTTGGATAAATATTTGGTGTTTCACAAACTGTATTCTAACACACACAGTTTTTCGATTTGACATTTGTTAATAACACACAATGGATCTCGAATTTTAAATGTGACCTTTGTGATTAATAACTGAGACCGGTTTGAAACGAAACGCCTTAAGTAGCAACACATTTATGTATAGTATGTATAGGAATTATCCAATACGTTGTTAGAATTATAATAAATTGCGAGAAAATTTAAATAAATTAAAATAAAGAATGTGTGAATTACATGTAAACTGCTCTATGTAAATAGTTATGAGTACATATATTATGCATTTCTATTTATCTGTATCTGTATATACGAATGTATAATAAACATGTAGGTATTTCTTTTCTGTGTATATACATTTTATATATATGTATTAATGTCTGTCAGTTATATATATATATATATAGTTATATATATATATATATATATTTATATAATTATAGTTTACAAGTATACCAGGAATTGTATGTTTACTTCATTCTTGTCCACCTTTTATAAATATATTAGTGTGCCGGGAAGAAAGGTTTTTTTTTTAATTCAATAACGTCTGTCTATACTAGAAAAAAATAATATGTCAAATGAAATGTTAACACATCTACAAAAAAATTATTTGTTTTGTAATTACACTGGACACATTTTCAGATGTCGTTTCAAGCTGGATTTATAAGTGGATGCAAAATCGCACTGGACACATTTAAAATTCTTGGAAGACTCGTGTTTTAAAAGATGAGTTCTCAAGTTGCGTTTATAGTTGGTTGCATAATCACACTGTGTACACTTTAGATCCTTGAAACTCTTGTGTGTTAGTAGATGATCTCTAAAGTGAGATTTATTATTCGTAGCGTAATCACACTGAGCACATTTTAAATCCTTGGCAACCTTATGTGTTAACAAATGTCTTCTTAAGTAGTACTTATTATTAGTTAAGTAATCGCAATGATAGCATTTTAGATTCTTCACAGCGCTGTGTGTTAACAGATGTTTTTTAAAGATGGGCCTAGAATTAGTGGCGTAATCGCATTGTGCACATTTTAAATACTTTACAGGAATATGCGAAAAGAGATGATTTTTCAAACTGGATTTATAAGTGGAGGCAAAATCACACTGGACGCACTTAAACTGGTTGGAAGACTCGTGTTTTAACAGATGGGTTTTCAAAGTGCTCTTACGGTTGGTTGCGTAATCACAGTGGGCACATTTAAAATCCTTGAAAATCTTGTGGGTCACGAGATGATCTCTAAAGTGGGATTTATTATTCGTTGCGTAATCACACTGGGCGCATTTCAAGTCCTTGAAAATCTTGTGTGTCTGCAGATGATATCTAAAGTGGGGTTTATAATTGGTTGCGTAGTCACAATGGGCACACTTTAATTCCTTGTAAATCTTATGTGTCAGGAGATGCTGTCTAAAGTGGGATTTATTATTAGTGGCGTAATCACACTGAGCACATTTTAATTCCTTAGCAGCCTTATGCGTTAACAAATGACTTCTTAAGTAGTATTTATTATTGGTTGCGTAATCACACTCATTGCATTTTAAATCTTTGAACATCTTATGTGTCAGGAGATGATCTTTAAAGTGGGCTTTGTTATTCGTTGCGTAATCACACTCAGCACATTTTAAATCTTTAGCTGCCGTATGTGTTACCAAATGCCTTCTCAAGTAGTATTTATTATTAGTTACGTAATCGCAATTATTGCATTTTAAATCCTTCACAGTGCTGTGTGTTAACTGATGTTTGTTAAAGGTAGATCTAGAGTTTGTTGCAAAATCACATTGTACACATCTGAAAAACTTTGTAGGATTGTGTGACAACAGATGTTTTTTCAAACTGCATTTGTACGTGGATGTAAAATCGCACTGGACACATTTCAATTGGTTAGAAAACTCGTGCGTTAACAGATGAGTTCTCAAATTGCGTTTACCGTTGGTTGTATAATCACACTGTGTACATTTTAAATCCTTGAAAGCCTTATGTGTCTGGAGATGATCCCTAAGGTGGGATTTATTGTTGGTTGCGTAATCACACTCTGCACAGTTTAAATCTTTGAAAATTTTGTGGGTCACGAGATGCTGTCTAAAGTGGGACTTATTATTGGTCGCGTAATCGCACTGATCACATTTTAAATCCTTGGCAGCCTTATGAGTTAACAAATGCCTCTTTAAGTAGTATTTATTATTGGTTGCGTAGTCACACTGATGGCATTTTAAATCCTTGAGAATCTTGTGTGTCAGGAGATGATCTGTCAAGTGGGATTTACTATGGGTTACGTAATCACACTGAGCACATTTTAAATCCTTGTTCGTTTTCGGTATTAGACGTCTTTTAAAGCAGAGTTTGTTATTAGTTGTGGAATCACCTGTTGAACATTTGTACATATCACCGACAAATTCATTTTCTTGCAGCACTTTACCTTCTTCTTTCCAATTACGTGTCGCATTAGAAGAATGCGCCCCCTCAAGTTCCAGTTTTATTGTTTCAGAGACCTCATTGTTAAGGAAAACCTTCTCCTCAATACATTCATTTAATTCCTCCTCTTGTTTTATTTCAACTTTTACGATTGCCGACATCACAGTTTTTTTTTCAAACAACAAAGGTCGCTCTGTATTTGGAATATAGGCGATACTCAACTACTGCAAGAAATTTATTAATTGTCTTGTGTGGACTGAGAGACGACAACCATATTGCTTGTCAAATGATGTTTTCCACGGGCCAGAAAGAGACATAAACAATAATTGGATAGTCATATCTACTTCCGTGGTCTAATCGAAACGTCAAGAAATGGGCGCGTTCAACTACTTTACTAGTGGTTAGTTGTGATGGGTTTTTTCTTTTTCTTACAAATCGGTTAGGCGTGAAGTATTAATGCGAAAGATATTCGTATAGCGTGAATAATATCCAGATGCACTTTTAGCTACCCAGGATATTCAATCGTCAAATGGAACAGTCAAGTGGTCGAAGGTCCAGGAACAGTAGCCACCGCCGCAATCGGCATTTTGTTTTTGACAGCAAATTTAATTTATTTACTCCAATGAATAAAGAATAGGAAGGAGCAACTCAGGTTGTATCATATATATAAGAGAAGTATATATATGGGTTGTATACAAGAGAGTGGGACGGAAGTCGGCCATTTGCAAAAGCCACTTATGACTCATTTTTGTTGTGGTTTTTGCAGTGACATTTAATAATGGTTAGTTGTGCTTGTGGTTGCTCCAAAACGGAAAAAATAAAAGTTTGGGAATTACATAGGTAGGTACGCCACTGGAACAGGAAACTACTGTCCGCCATTTGCAAAAGCCATCGCGGTCGCACGTATATTGTTGATATTCTCCTTGTATTCTTTATTCATTGATGTGGAGAGGGAGGAAAATATTGAGAGAATGTAGAGGTAGAAGAACATACATGAAAAAAACCGGTAAAAATCAAACCCGCCTGCGGAAAGTCATACAGGAGTATCTTTCAATGCTGGGTTTATGCCATGAACTCTGCACTCTGAAAACGTGAGGAGTATTCCTGAGGGGATTAGGTGACCATGGGCTACATCAGCCCTCCCATCAATAATAAATTAAGAAGAAGCATTCAAAATTGTATTCCGTCAAACTAAAAATCATCAAAAAATGTATCGGCATCAAGTCCTTGGAACACATCACTTAGCACTTCCTTATCTTCTACAGTTAGCGATGCATTGTGGACCGGTGACCAATTTGAGACTGGAGCTGCCAGTTTCGGGCTTAACTGATTAGTCTTAATCCTCTCAACGTTGCAAAAGTCTTCATCCGTAAATTTCTGGAGCTTGATCACGCCGTGTCCAGTATAAATCGAAACTAAATTATTTGAGGTTATCGTTAAGTAACAATTCGATGTACGCGTCAGCACCCCCACCTGCCGTAGCGTTATAACACTTCCAATTTTCAAATCCTTTGGATAATCCTTAATCAGATTACTCGCTATGGTTGCGTGTATTCGCCCTATAATGTTAAACTGGATCTACACCTCGTTAACACTCGATTTACCTGTAGGATCCTTAAGTACAACGCTATTAACGGAGGCCTCCCCGTTCATTTTGTGTATAATCCCCGCCAAGAAAGGCGCCTTTCCGTTTATCAGCAGATCGTTTTTCACTTGCGCCTTAATCCACGCTATATTGAACTTGTCGGGAAGATATACGCCGCGATCCTTCAGCAATCGAAAATCATTCGACATCTGTTCCCACGGCCCTTGAAATATCTGCGTGGACGACTGAGAGCACGGGACTTCCTAAAAAACATCCAATATTGTAAACACGCACTTAATCAAACGACGTACATTAAGAGCAGGTTGAGATTGCGGCCCGTTCGAAATTATTCCGGCCGGTCCTGGAAATCTTCTCTTAACCGGTTGACGTTTGGTGCCGGGCGAGGGAAGTTTTTTAGTGGGTGGCTCTGGAGGACACGGGTTTTCCCATGGCACTTTAAAAACGTCCTAAAAAAATTCTTTGAAATCCGAAGATAAAAGATATCAGATGCTCACATTATCAAGATCAAGGTCTTCAAACATTTCGATTGTTTTATTATGGTATGATATCTACTGTGTAAGAAATAAGGTTAGGTTAGTCATACATGACATTGTTGCCAAGTTACAAAGAAATCACGAAAAGCACTGTATTTGCGAAACAAATGCTATTGACGTTTGAGACTAACACTAGAGGCGCTGGTGTAATTTACAAATGGAGCGGTCTGTAAACACTGAATTATTCTCGCCGGTTTTGACACCCCTTACTACTATTCCAACAATTTATTATTCAATTTCTAGCGCACTTGTACAACTTTACTCGCCGACATTCCCTCACCTCGATAATGCTTTAAAACAGCCTTACTATTCGTGGGACAATTACATTAACCACAAATTAAACAATAGTGATGATTTAATTTTTTTTTTACTATTTGTGGCAATATTTATTTATTTATTATTATTATCCCTCTTTTGTTCTAGGCCCTCAACAGGCTTGCGCCCAATTACAGAGTGACCCGCATAATGCTTTTTAGAGGTGCCTCTGCAGAAGGTCTTATAAGTTGTTCTATACTACTCCAGTATTTACCTTACGAATTAGGAAAACTGCAGGAAAACCTAATTCGGGTAGCCGGCAGAATGCTCGAAACTGGTCTAAGGTAATTTCCATCTCCGCCACAGATCAAAAATTCACCTCAACCCAGGTTCGAATACCCAACCTCCGGATTTATAACTCAACGCTCTACCATTGAGCCATAATGCCATATGCATCGACCATAGACATTACTCTCGTATGTTTCGGGCTACGGACGCGGTGTTGTTAATTCTTTGGCAAAACTCGCGGCAGCGTTTTGTATTTTACCCCAGTTTACGTCCATACGATGGAAGATCACACTGTTATATTAGCAATTATTGTTTCGAGATATTTGGAGCAGAATCGCAATCCAATGGGCAAACCACTGTGGATTTCTGGTGAGCAACTTGTAGTGCACTTAATTCCCAGGTTCTACGCTAACTTAACACTACAAGAACACGGAAATAACGTCAACCCGGCACCAGGTAACAATATGGCCACCCGAATGCCTATGAAAATAAGACACTCAAATTGTGAAAAGTCTGTTTAATAATGATCGCAATTATTAAGATTGTGAAAGCTATAATATATATAATATATAATATAATTTAAGTCGAAATAAATTTCATTGCAAAAATAAACTTTGAAAATGGTAGTTCACCGAATAAAAATAGAAATAGGCTAGGAAAAAAAGAACTTACCAATAAAAAAACCAGCCGTCAAATTAATATCAAATTGTGTTATAAAATTCATTGTTTGTAATGATGTGAATGCGTAACATAAAATTATAACATCACAAAAAGTAGCAGGTAAACTTCAAGAGGTAACATATAGGTTAAAAACTAGTTTCGGGAATTATGGGTCAGGTAAGCGCAGGTACCAAGATTCTAAGAAAGGGTGAAATACACAAGATGTGACTCATCTGTGGTGCAATAAAGTCCTTTTGTTAAAAGCAAGATTGAAAATTACATGGCATTGTAGGCAAATTTAATTAAAAACAAGATATGTGGAAATTATTGAATCGCCGCTTATTTATCGCACATAGATTCTAAACTGAAGAGCTTTGATTAGCGTAATACCGCTCCGGCAAGATGCGTAACCCGCCCCTAGTTTCGGGGTTTCGAGCCTACAGTTGAATGTCGAAGACAATCACGGAATTAGGTGTCGTAGCTCAATTTTGACTACCACCCATGTGACTGCTTCATTCACGGAGATAATGTTAGTTACAAACAACAAGTCAGTACACACATCCAACGAACCACATACTAAAATAAAATGAAAACTTATATGAATGTTACTTCAGGGACAAGACCAAGTAATCAACATCAATAAACATAAATTAAGCAAGCATTACACTAAAGCATTACACCAAAAACTTAAACAATTACAAACAAAAGGGTAACGGTATTAAACAAGTGATTTTGCATTGCGGTTGAAGCAAATAAATTTCAAAAACAAAGATTCAAACACACAAAAAATATGAAATGCGGCATACAAAACACAAATACGATATAAAGAAATACAAAAATTACTACCTGCATTAAAAACACACAATATAACAACAAACCTTTATGGAGCGACGCGTTCACGACCGCCATTCAAGACAAGATGCCCAACGCAACCCCCGTCCGTGCTTTTTAGATGGCGCAGGCAGATTTTTCCACCTAAAAATTGCATGGTTGCCAACTCTCAAAAATGTATTTATCGTCGTAACAGGGTGGAACGTCTCAAACTCCTTGGAATTCCTGGATTTCTTATAAAATTCATGAACTTGCTTTCGATATGGTTTACTGAATAATTGGTCATAAGTCTAAAATGAATCAAAAGGCCGAAAGGGTTCCTAAAAATTTCGACAGACTACAATTAAAGCCAAAAATAATAATAATTTATTGCCATCACAATTCATAGAAAAAATAATGAACATCGGCATTGTCAATACATAAAACAGAAACATTAACTAATTATAGTAGTCAACTAATTTATACAATGACATAGAGATCAAGTATCGTTTGACAGCTTGTTTAAATTGAGTTTCAGGCACAATAGACCTTATTTCAGGTGGTAATGAATTAAAAGCTTTTATGCACGAATAGTATCAATGGCCCTTTTTCATATTCTGTGTAAAGGAATTCTCAAATCATTACAATTACGTGTCGTCATCAAATTGTATTTAGATGAGTTTTTTTGTGAAAAGTGCCATGTTCCTCTAGAACTCATCGGACAAATCACAAAAAAGGCTAGTAATCTGAGTAAGTGACCATTCAATTTGAATTGTTAATTAGGTGGACTTCCTCCAATCCGTAGTGTATCTGTAGGTTCTGGATACGGTAACCTTGGACTAAAGTTGTAGTTCGAGATAAATGCCGTTAAGTATCTTTATCACCTTTGCAAGGGCGAAAAGTTCAATTACACCCAAAAAGGCAGATTCATACACAAAGAAATGAAGTCGCTAAACAATCCAAATGAGTTAAAACAATCAAATGAAAATTAATAACTGGCCAATCTTCAACAAATCAAAATAGGCATAAAGCTTTACATTGAAGGGAATAACACCGAAATCCAAGGATCACTTGTAAACTGTAACGTTTCAAACTACACTTGGTCTTTGAGATGCAATTACGTTGTATGTACAATAGGTACTTTTACAGCCGTAAACACTACTGAGTAGGTTAAAGGTGGGTTCATAGTTCTCCGTTCA